CCAGGGTGGGACCCACTGGTATGGAGGTGCGGTTATGGGACAGGGTCAGGGACCAGAGCCCCAAGGCTCTCACCTGGAGCCCGGAGCCCACCCTGTTTCTCTTTGTGGTCCTGCCTCTCCCCTCCGCGCCCCCTCCCCCGCCCCCATCATACACAGCTTCCACTGGACTCGCAACAGCAGGTTCTTCAACATCGCCAAGGACCCCCGGGTGTCAATGAGGAGGAGATCCGGGACCCTGGTGATCGACTTCCGCAGTGGGGGGCGGCCCGAGGAATATGAAGGGGAATACCAGTGCTTTGCCCGGAACAAATTTGGCACGGCCCTGTCCAATAGGATCCGCCTGCAGGTGTCCAGTGAGTAGCATGGACAGAGGGGGGACCGGCATGCCCTGCTTCTGGAGTAATGGGGGGGGGAGCATGGAGGGTCATTCCAGAAAGGCCGCCCTGCCCTTGGCTGCCTTGGTGCCCTGCAAGTCCTGCTTGCTGTTTGCCTCTGAGGAGGAGCGCACTTCCCCCTACTCAGAAAGATTCCTGGGAGAGGAGGCTACCAAACCAGTCTTGAGCAACTTCACCTGCCCTCTGGGCAAGGGAGGAGAGGAAGGAGAGGAGCCTTTGAAGCTGTGCATTTATTTAGACAAATGGCCTCTATTCTCTCGCTGTACCTCGCCTAGACCCACGGGGGGCTCTCTCCCCACTCCCTTGTTCTCCCATCTCCCTTTGTCCTTCTCCCCCTTGCATTTCTGCCTCTAACCTGCTCCTTGCCTCGGCCCCAGCCATCCCCCTCATTTCACCCGCCTCTGTCTGACTCTCCCCAGAATCTCCCCTGTGGCCCAAGGAAAACCTAGACCCTGTCGTGGTTCAAGAAGGTGCTCCCTTGACCCTCCAGTGCAACCCCCCACCCGGACTTCCGTCCCCAGTCATCTTCTGGATGAGCAGCTGTAAGTCTTGGGGGGGCGTTTGATTTCTACTTTAATCTTAAGGAGGGGAGTGGGTGTGTGAAATGGGAAGGGCTTGCCCAAGGCTGGAAGGCCTTCACTTGTGAGAAGCCGGTGTAAAGGGGCCACGTGGCTGAGAACACGGTGAGAGGCCGCTCAGGCTAATTTCCTAGCCTGACTGCTGATAGCCGTGTGATCTTGAGCAAGTTGCTTAACATCTCTGGGCCTCAGTTTCCTCTTCTGGAAGAAAAAGGGCTAACCGCTGTCCCTCTTTAATAGGACCATTGTTAGGATAAATGAGGTCATACAGCCAAAATGCTTATAACAGAGCCAGATGCACGGTAAAGTGCTCAGTAATATTTGTGATGATGGCGAGTTGACAGAAAGCCTCGTGGTTCAATCTCTGGTCGTTCTGGATTTACGGGGACACAGCCAGGCACAGGGATGTAACCTTTGATAAAGGAGCGATAGGGAGACGGTGTTTGCAGAGGGACAGAGTATCGTCGAGAGCTTGTTCGGTTCTGTTTTGGACTGAGACTCTTCACCACTCTGGACCTGTTTCTTCCCACATTTTCAACCAAAATAAGTGGGGGCGTGAGTTATAAAGGCCACCGGAGCTCCGCTGTCTGTGTCTTCCCGGCTTCCCCTCCGCCTCCTTCCATACCTGCTCCCCTGTCTATCCATCCATCGCTCGATGTATAGATGTGCCTGCCTGCCTGCTTATCATGCGTCATCCGTCCATCCCCGAGTTTTTAGCGGCCTGCTTCTGAAAGAGGCTGCCTGTCGAGGAGGCAGAGTTGCGCGTTGTTTTGCAGACAGAGGGCTTTGCCCTCATTCATTCTCTCGCTACGTCGCCATGGTGCATACGCCTGGGGAAGGCTGCCCGGCCACGGGCTGGAGGGTTGGTTAGTTAGCTAACAGCTCAGACCCTCTCATCCCCTGCATCACTCCCGTCACCAGCTTATGTCCATGCTGCCTCCCGGGCAGATCTCGTGACCCTTGCTGGCGTCTCTCCAACACAGGCCACCATCCGCATTTGCCTGGGTTGCCATAATCAGCCACAACCGGCCTCCTTGGTCTTCCCAAAAATGAATCTGATAGTTTCACTTGTATGCTCCGAGCCCTTCCCTGCCTCCTCCATCACCTCGGACAAAGTCCAGACTTCTTTCCCGTCCTGATCTGCCTCCCCAGCCTTTCCCCTACCCCTTGCCCCAGCTGTGTGCGCTCACCTTTAGCACACACTGTTTCTGCTGCTTAGAAACCTCTTAGGGCCCTGTCTCTTCTGTGTGGTAAGTGTCATGCGGCCTCCAAACCCCAGATGAGGGCACCCTGGAAGGAACTGGGTGCTTCTCTTCTCAGCCCATCCCCTTCTTACCGGGGGCTCCCCACTCACCACCCTGCACTGTGATGATTTGTTTATCTGCTGCACCTTCTGCTAGATTCGGCTCTCTTCCACCAATACCTGGCACAGTGCCCGGCACACAGTAGGCCTACAGTAAATCTTGGGTTAAATGATTTGCAGAACCGACCAGCCCATCGTTGAAGGGTTGGCATCTTTAACTTTGAGCCTTGTGAAGTAGCATCTTAAGGGGCTCCTGGGCAGCTCAGTTAGTTGAGTTTCCCGCTCTTGATTTTTGGCTCGGGTCCTGGTCTCACGGTTCATGAGATTGAGCCCCTAGTCAGGCTCTGCACCGACAGGGATTCTCTCTCCCTCTCTCTCTGTCCCCCTCCTGCTCGCGTGTGCTCTCTCTCTCAAAATAAAT